TTTCATTTCGTTCCGTTTCGATTCGTTTTGCTTTGTATTCTTTTTATTATGGCCAAATATTTCTGCTGGCCGCCAGTCAGACCAGCCAGCCAGCCAGTCATGCCCCTTGAGCCACGATAATGTTAATGGAGGGCCCCACTATGCCCTGCCCTCCACCGTGCTCTCCTCGCCCCCATCGTATTCTTTCAGTCTGTCGCCGGTCCGAGGTATTTTTATGACTTTTGTTACACTAACTTACTTCCTATTCGAGTCGGACGACAACGCGACGCAGACTGGACGCTATGGCATTTAGGTTTTTTATTGTTGTTGTTTGAATGGAAATGAGAGGGGTATCTATAGAGTGAGAGAGAGAGAGAGAGAGAGAGAGAGGGGTACCACCTGAATGGGCGTCATTCCACAGTTGATTGGCTCTGAGGTTACCTTTGACACTGACTCTGACTCTCCTCCAAAAGAATCTCAGTTCTGACTCTCCCCCAAAAAAAGAATCTCCGCTGGGACTTGGCTTTGGCTTGGATCGGATCAATGTTTCTGAAGTCTGGATGGTAGAATGCTGGCACTACCATTGCCATTGGTGGTTGGGGCATTGGGCCTCATTTCAATGTGGACACCACTGAAATTAGGGAGGATCTAAGGCATCCTCTAAAGCAGAATCTCAACTTTAACCTTTGGCATCCAGGGGTTTCATGGTTTCTGGAATGGTTTGTGGAATGCTGCTGCTAGTGCCACTCCAATTGGAAGCTGGAGCCGCACTGGAAGCAGCAGTCTCTAATCTGCCTACCCTACTTTCACTCCATTTCCAGTCGTCGAGACTCTTTGGCATCTCGACGCGAGATTCGATTCGATTCAATTTATTCGAGCTGAACTTTTTTCTCTCCCTCTCTCTCTCTCTATCTCTATCTCTCTTTCTATCTCTGTCTCAGTTTTTCCTAGTGATAGAGAGAGAGAGAGAGGGGTATCGACTAAACTGCAATGAAATTTCAGGCCTGGCAATCGATTTTGCTGCTGCTTGGGATTTGCCTTTTTTGGGCCTTGGAATGTTGCATGCTGCTCCTGCGCCTGCGCCTGCGCCTGCCTCTGCCCCAACTCCAGCATAAGCCCCCAAGCAACATGCAACAGCAACAACAACAAGAGCCAAGCACCAACAATGTGTTCTAAATAAATTCCAGGGAAATGAAATTCAGGGAGCCCCCCGACGGGAGAGCCGAGGGAGAGCCAGGAGTGCTCTTCGCAAAGGCAGATGTATCTTGCAGATACAAATTCTGTACGCTGTGCGCAACGTGATTGCAATCTTTAGCATCGTCATCATCATCATCAACAGCAACAACAACAACAACAAGCAGGAGAGTGATCGACAATGAAGTACTCTTTAAAAGGGTCATATAGATCGTATTTGGCAGATCCTAAATGAGAAAATACAGAAATTTAAGCCTTTTTGTGTAGAAAAGTTAAAGGGTTTGAAAATCCGCCAGCATTATAGCCTATAAAGCAATCAGATCTCAACATGAGAGACTCGGAAAACAACTGTAATAGTTTTGGGGCTCCCATCGGTCTAAAGTTACGCTATAGCCATCTCCTATCTCTACCGAACGAGCCCATTACTACCCGCATACCCTGTAAATGCCGGCAAACAGCCACAAAAACAAGAAGAAGAAAAAATGAAGCAAAAGAAGAGGAGCAACACGAGGCACGAGATTCGAGGCTGTGGCAAGGCTCCCAAGGCCCCAAAAACGCAACAGAGGAAGACGCAGCAGAGTCGCGCGTGCGCAGCCTCAACGGATGTCTAAGCCATGTTGTTGCTCTTGCCTTTGCTCTTTTTCTCTGTTGCTCTTTTTCTCTGTTGCTCTTTTTCTCTGTTGCTCTGTTGCTGTTACCTGTTTTGGCCTTTCTTGTGCTTTGCTTCTTTTTGGCCAGAGCTGCTCTTGCACCTCCTCCAGGAGGCAGAAAAGAAGAGAAGCGGAGTGGAGTGGCAGGGGGGCCTGTGGCTGCAACTAAAAATCAAAAAAATCAACCAATGTTCGTACAGTAGCTGCCTTGCGTCTGCGTCTGCCTTTTGCTCTTCTTTTTTTATGCTTTTAATGAGCTTTTATATGGGGCTGAAGGATCAGGGCAAGCAGCGAGTGCGAGGGGGAGGCACTGGGGAGGGCTGTGGATTGAGCCAAACCAAGCGAATGCATCTCCATGTCAGAGGAGGATGACGATGAGGATGATTTTTGCGTTTTGCTTTTGCGGTTTACCCATAACCCCACACATAACATAACATCGTACTCGTAGCCTCCACCTCTTAAACCGATTCCTAGGCTCTCAATGGAATCGAAATGCTTAAGGTATTTGGTTCCCATGGGTCCCACAGAGCGGGGCGAAGGGGGAGGGGCTGGGGTAGGTGTGATGATTATTATGGTAACACAGTTTTTGGCGGCAGAAATAGAGACAACCGCAAAACACTTGTTCAAACAGACTTACCCGTATATGAGTATTGACAGTGCGGAATAGCAAAACAAATTTCTCTATGAAAGTTCTGATAATCAACATACGAGTATATCTTAAAAATATACTGCTCTGCAAAAGATTTAAAGACTTTATTATAGGCAAAATTTATAGCAGAACTCGTGGAGATCATAATCTCCAGAAGAGATCTGGTAATTATGCTTAATGCTTAATAAATTTAAAGACTTAAAGAGTTCCCTTCGATGTACTGAAGGTTTTTGCAAGATCTTAAGACTTAATAATAATAATTTACAGATCATGCGGGTTCTTGGTTTGAACATCTTTCAAAGAGAAATGAACGCTCAAAAGAACTCTATATTCTCTGTTCTCTGCAAAGATGACGCTTAGATACGTATGTACATATAGGAAATTATGTGTAGATGGATAGCAAATGACAGATTACCAAGGAATAAATTAATGCATTTTTATAAAGTCTTAAATTTCGCTGAAAGCTAAGCTACATCTTCCCGAAAGCAAAGCTAAGTCATCTCAGATAAAATATCTATGATATAGTAAAATATTTTCCTCCTCTTAACAGTAATAGTTCCCTCCAAATATTTATGTATATATATTTTATATTCATTGTTCTACACAATCCGCAAACAAAAAGAGAATAATATCTAAGTTTTGCCGGCTAGAATCTTTGATCTCACATGGGAAGCTCTGGGAAGCCAAAGTTCTACGGAACAAACTCCATTCCAGTGGAAATCAGTTCGTGTGGCAAAAGTACTATACATATTTCCCAGGGTGAGTCTCTGGAATACCTTTCCCCCACCAGCAACCTCGAAGCAAGCTCGACGCGACGCACAGCTCAATCTGCAGCTGTCAGGTGTGGCCGGCTAATTGAGAGAGGCGCGTTACGAGATCATCTTGACACTTTTCGAGGCAGCAGAAGTAGAGGCAGCAGCAGCAGCAGAGGCAGAGGCAGTAGCCACCTGCCGGACGCCATGGATCCGCTGATGATTAACTAGTCACTCCAATTGAGAGGCAGGTTGAAGATGGGGAGAGAAGGGACAGGGACATGGCAGCAGTGAGGTATGTCTGTGATAAAAAAAAACACCGACAAGTGCCCGCTGGCAAGTGCTGACGCATTTTGGCCCAAAGGCACAGGCCCAGGCCCGAGACCGGGGACGGGAACAGAGACCGCTGATAAGCCCAAGAGTCAAAAGTAAATTCAATGCCAAAAACCGAAAACTCTCTCGAAACGGAAACGGGCCTAACGCAGAAAAACAGAAACGAGCAAATACAAGATACAGATAAAGATAGAGCCCACAGATACAGATACACACAGCCAAAGATACAGATAGAGCGATACAGCCATACATGTGTACGTATGTACGTATGGGTTTTGGCACAAATGTAAATTCAGATCCAAGAGTATTACTTATTCAAATTTCGACTCGATTAGCATCTTGAACCGTGGGAGCAATACGCTCCGTAATCCCCCAGATAGAACTAGAACCCCTCCGAGGGAACTGGCTCTGAATATCCCCCACCTTCTAGACTGATAAATATTTGACTTTTGCATGCCATCGCCATGAGTTCAACGTCGTCGTACATCAAGTCTCACTGTGGCTGTGGCTGTGGTTGTGGCTGTTGTTGCCGCTCATTTAATTTTCAAACATTTATCAACAAATATTTGGCGCTTATCATTTGTTCGACTCAAACACAGTGGAGAGAGGGGAGAGGGAGCTAGGTTGCTCCACTCCTAACCAGAAGCTGCATCATCAAAAACAACATCAACATCAGCATCAGCAGATTTACTGACCCGAACACCTGACAACCTCCCATCTATATGAAGTCTCTCCATCTGGCTGGACTTTTGCACAATATTTTCAATGGATTTCGCGTTGTGGATTTTGCTGCTGATGCTGCTAATTATTGTGGGTGAGGGGTTCATGGTGGTTATGGTTCGTGGATTAGGCGGATTGAGGTGTGTTTCATTGAGCAATTATTTTTTTTAGGAATTGGTTAACCTTCAACTTATCTACAAAGACCGGAAAATAGCCAAAAGTCACAGAATACCATCTAGTTTTTGGCAATTCATCGTCTGCTCTAGATCATAGCTCTGTATTTCATGGAATCCTATAAGAACAATTCATATAAAACAGAAGAAAACCAAAGAATCATTTGCTTCATAGTTTTCATAAAAAATCCAGAAGCCGAAGTGCGCTGCCACATGACGCGGGATAGGAACAACCGGAAAAGCCGAAGTCGATTGATGAAGGAACAAATAAATAACAAATATTAATACTAAATACGATCCAAAGAGGTTTTTTTTTGATGGTGGCTTTAATTATATATAATTTCTATGAATTTCTGTGAAGAAATTCCACAAGCTCTAGTCGGAATACTCTTTTGGGGTAACATTTTTCAGAGGTGTCTTTCCTCTTTCCCCAGGGGGCAAGCGCAGAGCCAAAGCAATTTGTGTTTTGGTTAGCCATCGGTTTCCATGGCACCGGAAGACCCTTTCCTTTCCATTTGGCATAGCATATATGTAGGTATGTACCTGCCACAGTCGATACTCGGAGGAATCCACAAATTAAATCTTACCAAAGAAGGAGCCCAGGAGAGGCACAAATTATGGGCATAGAAAAATTAGATGGCATTCAAGAAGAACTAAAACAAATGCCAGCAGCATCAGCAGAAGCAGCAGCAGCAGCAGCGGACCTCTAACCGAAACAGAAGGTAAGGGTAACCGCAGGAAGCGGCAACAGCATTCCTGCTGGAACTCGAGAGAGGCTGGGGAGGGGGGGGGATATGGGGCGGTGCCCCGAGGGCAGAGGAATGACACGCATCCGGTTTTGAAATTCCACAGAGCCAGGCCAAGACGCACAGCAGAGAACCCAAAAAAAAAGAAAAATATATATAAAGATCGAGGAATTCAGACACTTGAAGTCGCCACCAGACAGAGCCGAACAGAACAGGAAGAGCAGCCATCTCCATCTTTAGAACCAGAGGGAGGCCCCCCGATGGCGACACTGGAGCTGGACTACTTCAGGGCCGTGTCCCTCTACCGCCGTCGCTCCTACGAGCAGTGTGCGGAGCTGTGCAACGCCCTGTTGCAGGCCGGTCACGACAACAATGTCCAAATGTTTGCCACCAAAGAGGGGGAGCAGGAGGAGCACCAGCAGCAGCAGCAGCAGGCGGAGCTCGAAGGCAACAGCAACAGCAACAGCCGCAGATTCGGTAGCAATTTGCAACGTATTGGCCCCAGGCATGCGCAGCAGCAGCAGAAGGCCGCCGCCGTCGCATCCATCATGATGCCCACTTGGCTGATGGAGGGCGTGTGGCAATTAAAGATGCGTGCCCTGACGCAGCGCGTCTACCTGGACGACCTCGAGGTGGATGATGCCGGCGAGGAAGAGGGTGAGTAGGCGACTAATCCCACTCCCATCCCATACGATCCTAACTTAACTCTCATGCCGCAGCCCACGAGGAGGTGGAGTTCGAGAGAATTGCCACGGCCGCCCGACCCGGCAGCAGCATCAAGACCGCATTCCAGCCGCGACCAAGCACCAGCCAGCGCCAGACGCAGCGCAGCAGTCGAGGAGCCGGCTTGGCTCACTCCAGCGATGGGCGTCTGAACAGCTCCAGGCCGGGATCGGCGGCTGTGGCGCGCCCTGGTACGAGTCTCAGCCGTCCAGGATCCTCGTTGGGGGCCAGGCCCGCGTCTCGCTGTGGTACAGCCTCGAGGGTGAGGGCTACATCTGCGGCGGCCTTTAATGTGGGCGACGCCACCTCGAAGCTTTACCAGGCCTCCCGTCTCAATCCCACTATCTATGCGGAGCGGGAGACTCTAGTGAAGGCTCTGTTCCAGTTCCTTTTCTACCACGAGGCGGACGTGCAGAAGGCGCACTCCCTCTGCCGGGCGGTGCTCGAGGTGCAGCGCCAGCGACCCAGTGCCTCCGGATCGGAGGCCACCCGTATAGACTGGTGGTGGCAGCAGCAGATGGGCCGCTGTCTCCTGGCCCTCCACTATCCCCGTCGGGCGGAGCCCTGCCTGCAGCAATCCCTGGCCGCCTTTCCTCATCCGGACACGTATCTGCTGCTGTCGCGACTCTATCAGCGGCTCAAGCAGCCAGAACGGGCTTTGGTCCTGATTGGGGAAGTGGTGGATTTGCGTCCCTTCGATGTCACCTACCGTCTGGAGCAGGCGCGCATCCACCAGGCCATGCAGCGGCAGGAGGACTCGCTGCAACTGTATCGACTGGTGTCCCGACTGCAGCCCATCAATGTTGAGGCCCTGGCCAGCATTGCCGTGGGCTACTTCTACGACAACAACCCGGAGATGGCGCTCATGTACTATCGCCGCATCCTCTCGCTGGGCGCCCACTCCGCGGAGCTCTACTGCAACATAGCCCTGTGCTGTCTCTACGGCGGACAGATCGACCTGGTCCTGCCCTGTTTTCAGCGCTCCCTGGCCATGTCCACCCAACCAGAGCAAAAAGCCGATGTCTGGTACAACCTGAGCTTTGTGGCGGTGGTGAGTCCAGCCCTTTGGAAGAATTATCCAATCATCAATCAAATTTAACTTTAAACCTGATTTAGACCTCGGGGGACTTCAATCTGGCCCGTCGCTGCCTCCAGCTCTGTCTCACTTCGGATGCCCGCAATGGAGCGGCCCTCAACAATCTGGCCGTCCTGGCAGCCCAGGGCGGGGACGTTTTGGCTGCCAAGTCCTATCTGAATGCCGCCAAAGATATGATGCCCGATGCTGAGGAGGTGACAAGCAATCTGCAATTTATGGATCTGCATTACAAACTGTAGTTGGATCAATTGTTAACATCACGTTATACTTTTATTGTACGCGGTAGACGTGCCTCGGCATTAAGATTTGAATATATGCAATGGATTTTCAAAATTAAATCGCATAAGTATTTATTCCAAGAACAATTAAAAACCTAATGGCAGTGCTTTTATAAAATATCCACATTTTATTGAACAGTCGTCTTCTATGGCCACTGAAGCCACTCGTAGATGGGATCAAGACCCACTTTTGTCACTGCACTGGCCTCCACAATGGTCACCTGTTGGCGGATCTGCTTCTGCAGCTTGGACATCTGCAGCATGAGAAGAGCTTCATTGCGCATCTGCCGATAAGAATAGTCCATCTTTGCCAGCACCAGCAGGATCTTGACCTTCTGCAGTCGGGGCTCCGTGAGGATGGAGTAGAAGAGCACGCCAGCGGCCGAAATCTGGCAGAGATTGGAAGTGTCCACCACATAGATGAGCTTCTTCACATCCTCAAAGTACTGCCGCCACAGTGGAGCCATGCTGCCGCCGATCTCCAGGATCTGGATGGACTTGGGCAAATGCTTCTTCCCGCCGTGGTGGTGTGCCTGGGTGGATCCATCCGCTGGCGGGGGCTTTGGTTTGTCGCTGTTCGGCGACTTGGTGGGAAAGTGGATGCGGTAGATTCCCGTTCCTATGGTGGGCATGGAGTAGCTCGTCTCGTCGATTGAGTCCGGTTCCTGGAGAGCCTTCAGCAGGTGGGTCTTACCCGAACGCTTGGGACCCAGACAAATGCAGGACATTTTTCCTTTCGTTCTTTTATTGATCAAACATAGTTTGCCTTGGTAACCGGACCAAAATTCAAACGCGATAACAAACGATAACAGTCGATTCTTCTTGCGTCCTCTGTCGTACACATTTTAAACTAACAGAGCTGTCTGTTAAAGGCTATACGAACTGTAGCCCGCAGTTAATAATTGTTTAAACCTTGTTTTAGTCCGAATACACAAAATGGGAGTACTTAAAGGAAGTTAATCTTGTAGAAAATTAATTCACTAATCCGATAAAATTATATGGGCAAGGCTAAATGTTCTATATAGCTAGTAATTTTCCACGGAATATCAAAATTGAGGAATATGTAAAATATAACTTGAATTCGTCGGTATATTTTTAAAATGAGATTTTGGTATATTTCTGATTGATCCCCGGTCACACTTTGTACATCTCAGAACACTGGTCACACTGTCTGCTGTCTCATCGTAAACAAAATTTATATTTTTCCTTCAAAAATCATGGATGAAATTTGCTCGAAACCGAAACCACCACAAGATGCCCAAAAGGAAGTCAAAGAAATAGGCTTTGAGAAGCAGTTTTCAGTGCCTGTGAATGGCATACCCACGGAAATCGTCTACCATCGCTTTGGACGCAAGCGGCTGCTGGTCATCACGCAGCTGGGCAAGATTGCCGGGATCTACAATGTGAGCTTCGATATCAGCAACAATCCCGCAATGCTCAAGCCCGTGAAAAATCCGGACTTCCACATCTCGGTGCCGATAACCATCCAAAGCTGTCTGGGAGTAGACACGGTCGACACCGATTGTGCCATACAATTTTTGGTCAATAACACCAAGCTTTGGGAATCGCCAATGGACTTCGTTATTTGCCTGGGCCTGAAGGTGATCGATACCCCCCTGCTGCACGCCCTCGCCAAAGTGCTGGACGAGGTTGTCCTTTAGCTTACAAATATACATTACTACAGCTTAATAAACGTCATAGACCAGAATCACTTTTCGCAAACGTTTATATTTCGTCGATTTTGTACATTAAAACGTGTACGAAAGTCGGAAACAAAACATCACTTCATAGGATAAAAAGCACAAACACGGCGGATGTTATGTCGGTATGGATGTGGTTCATAAGCAGATGGATGCTTAATCGAACAGACCGAATCCCATGTCGTCGTCGGACACATCGGACTCTTCCTCCTTCTTCTTCTCCTCCTTCTTGGACTCGGCGGCTGGGGCATCAGCGGCAGCTGGGGCAGCAGCACCACCGGCTGGGGCAGCACCAACTCCGGAACCGATGCTGGTGATCAGATCCTTGACGTTGATGCCCTCCAGAGCCTTGGCGAAGAGACCGGGCCAGTAGGGCTCAACCTCAACGTTGGCGGCCTTCAGGATGGTGGAGATTTTCTCACCCTACGGGCATAGATATACAACAATATTATTAGTATGGCGTGTGGAACAGCACAATACATCATGGGATTAACAAAACTATCACAAATCCACTGGGATGGCGACAATTGAAAAAGATTTGTTTCCCATTGACAGTGAACTGATTGAACTTACGGTGACGGCAACATCGTCATCAACCAGGATGAGGGAAGCGTAAACGCAGGCGAGCTCAGCTTTTGTCGACATTGCGAAATTGATGATTAATTAATGATTGTGCAAGTTGCCAAAAACTAATTTGTTTTTAATAAATGGCCTTAGCTCGATTGAGAACAAGCACGCTGGGCAAAATCCTAGACCGGAAAGAGACGAAGAAGGGATGTAAAGAAGATAAATTTATAAATCAATCCATCGATATATATGTTTTTTGACAATATATTCGTAGGTGATATTTTTTGGACTATCGAAAATATTAATATGGATATGTTTTGAAGAATATTGATACATCTTTACTTCTTTATATAACCCTACCATTTATAACGTTTCTGAGCTCGGTTCGGAGCAGCTGACACTATTTTTCTGTTGTTTCACGTCGTTTCTGTTTACTCACTACCTTTTATTGTACTTATCGATGCACAGTTTTGGGTGCAAAACAAATATCGGTACTATTGTGCGATATGAATTTATCGTTGTCCAAAATTAAACAACATTATTTACAACACTAGACCGAAAAAAAACAAAAAGGCGCGTAGAATGGAAGATATAAAAATCAAGGAGGAAAATAAAACTATAGCCGAAGGCGATCCATCCGATGATGAGGACAAGAAGGACATAGGCAAAATCAATTCGTTAAAGTCTTTGGGTCCCTTCATCGCATCGCGAGAGAACAGCCAGAATACGGTGTACCTCAGCGATGTGCCGGCCGTGTGCAAGGATAAGCCCTGCATGCTGGGCGTCGACGAGGCGGGCAGAGGACCCGTGCTGGGTCCCATGGTCTACGGCATCTCCTACTGCCCGCTGGAGAGCAAGCAGGCGCTGATTGATCTCGGATGTGCGGACTCCAAACAACTGACGGAGGAGAAGCGGGACGTGATCTTCAATGAGCTGAACACGCTGGAGTATGCTAACAGCTGCGTGGGCTGGGCCGTAGAGATCATCTCGCCCAACGTCATCAGCACGAGCATGTACCGGCGAGCCAAGTGTTCGCTGAACGAGGTGTCCATGGAATCGGCCATGGGTCTGATCCAGCAGGCCATCGATGCGGGCGTGAACATAGCCGAGGTCTATGTGGATACGGTCGGACCGCCGGAGAAGTACCAGGAAAAGCTGTTGCGACGCTTCCCCAACTTCAAGATCACTGTGGCTAAAAAGGCTGATTCCACGTATCCCATTGTCTCGGCGGCCAGTATCTGTGCCAAAGTTACCCGCGATCACGCCCTCAAGGTGTGGCGGTTCCCCGAGGGTCTGGTCATTAAGGACAATGCCTTTGGCAGCGGCTATCCCGGGGATCCGGTCACGAAACGGTTTCTCACCGAACACATTGATCTGGTGTTTGGCTTCCCCCGGCTCGTGCGCTTCAGCTGGTCGACGGCGGAGAATGCTCTGGCGAACAAGGCCTACGACATGGAGTTCGATGAGCCCGACTCGGAGATGCCCAAGTACGCGGGCACCAAGCTCACAAAGTTCTTCAAAGGCACCACTAAAGACGGCGAGGTCATACGCGAGGAATGCCGCTTCTTCAAGCAACGTCACTTGTCAAGTGTTTTTGAATTTTAGTCTATGATAATTGTTAAATATAGCTTTAGCTTTAATGAATCTTTTGTTTTTCGCCAATCTTCTTTATAAATCTTAGGCTTACGTTCGTGCTTACAAGCTACGGGGGGTTTGGGATGCAGTTACACTGTTCTGAATGTATGCGTGAATCGGTCAGATCTCTCCATCACCTGTCTTGTCTGTTCAGCCATCCATCCGATCGGCTGACTAACTACATGTTGGGTGTGGGGCGGGGGAAATACTCGTACTCGTATGATTAGGTCTTAAGTGTAAAAGGGCAGCATGAAGTTAGGAGGAGAGACTGTAGAAGTGGTAGAATTGGGGAGGGGAGGGATCGTTAAGGACCGTCGGCTCTCATCATCGCACATCCGTTCATCGATCGATCGATACAATAACAAAATGCATAAGTTATACTAAACGATTTCTGTATAAAAGTGATAATCTTAGAAACATAGAGCTTACAATTAAGATTAAAAAGAAACGAGCAAAGAGCGCTCTCCCCGCGCGAACGCCGCAACGAAAGGTGTCACACCCCGAAGCGTCGACGGGGGAGCGCAGCTTGTCGTTTATGTGACTCGGGACTAAGCGTACGAAAGAGATTGGACAAAAGCATAGGGGAGGGGGCGCGGGCGGGTGGATCTATCTCAATCTCTTGGACATCTCTGAAGGTACGAATGAAATGGATATTGCTTCATGGGAACAAGAGAGTCCATCCAAGAATCGAGATGCCGAGAAACAGTGGCGGGTAACAGATCGTGTTGAAGGTGTGTGTGTGTACAGTTTAAATCGAAGCGTTCTTTAATAGACAAAACTCAGAATCTCCTGGACGCGGGCTGGCGCTGATGGTGTGTCCACAACGCCATTGGGAGCCGAGGATCAGAACTTCCGCAGGTCGAGAACGAACACACTGCCGTCGGAGGCACTGGCGCCCACCTTGGTGCCCTTGGAGTTCCAGCAGACCTCGAAGATGCCGCCGGTTCCCTTGTAGCTGTGGACCAGCTGCCCGGTTTGCGTGCTCCATATGTGCACGCACTTGTCGAAGCTGCCCGAGGCAAGGTGCTTGCCGTCGGGACTGAAGGCCACCGAGTAGACGGGCTCCGTGTGCTTGGTGAGCGTGTGGATGCAGCTACCCCGCTCCACGTCCCACAGCCGCACAGTGGAATCGAAGGAGGCCGAGGCGAGAATAAGATTCGTATTCGGATTGTTCGTCCCCGGCCCCGTGGGAGACCACTTTATCGTGTAGATCTCCTTGGAATGCGCCTGCAGGTCGTGACAGCAGCGATCCCGATTCATGCTCCAGATCTTCAGTGTCATGTCGTCTGAACAGGAGGCCAGTAGCTGGCCCTGCGGACACCACTTGATTGCGTTCACCTCGTTGGTGTGGCCCCGGAAAGTCTTTATCGGTTCGTTCACGCCCAGCCGACACACGTGTATCCGTTGATCCGTACTGCACGACGCAAAAGCCTGATTCGTCTGCCAGTCGACGTCCAGGGCGGGGGCACTATGGAAGGCGAATTGTTGCGTGCACTGGCCCGTGGAAGCGTCCCAAATGATTGTTGTTTTATCCACTCCGGCGGAGAGAATGTAGTTGCCGCATTTGTTCCACTTGAGAGCGAAAATCGGTCCCTTGTGCTGGCCCAGAGTCGAGGCCAAGCGGCCATCTGTTTTCCAGATGCGCGCATAGCCATCGTAGCTTCCCGTGGCCAGCAGCGACCCATCGCACTGGAAGGAAAATGTATTTTAATTCTGGGATATCGGCTTCTGAGACGTCTACTTACATTCCAGTCCAGGGATGTGACATCTTTGTTGCTGGGCACCTCTGCTCCGCCCTTCTGGATGCAGTGCCTCAGCACCAGCTGGTTGGAATTGGTGTTTGCATCGGACATGTCCCAGATGCGTGCAGTACTGTCGCCAGAGCCACTGGCCAGAAGGTCCCGACTGGGATTCCAGGCACAGATGAACACCTCGCTCTCGTGGCCACGCAGAACGCGGGCCTTGGACTCGGGTATCTCGATGCTCTGGTCAATCTCCATGGCCTCGACGGGGGCAGGGGTGCCTCCCGTGGAGGAGGAGATGGTCCCGCTGGGAGCTGAGCTCTGAGCTGTGGCTGTGCCCGCCGCAACATTGTTGGGCTGGGTTCCCACTCGTATTGTGACGGCCGCAGTGGACGTTTTGGCCCCCGCGGCGGCGGTTCCTCCGGCGGCTGCAGCTGTATCGGGATTGGAAGTCGAGACAGCGGCTCCGACCGGAGCGGCGCCGCTTGACGGTTGCTCGGCACTGCTGGAGGTGTTGCTGTTACCGTTGGTGGATGTGGATGAGGCGGCGTCGTCTGTGCTCGTTGCATTTGCATTGCCCGTATTGTTGACCGCCGTCGAACTGCCGGGCTCACTGGAGTTGGCCTTTTTGTTGGCTCCGCTGGCGGCTGTTGCGGAGGAATCGCCTGCAGCTGGGGCTGTGGCGTTGGTGGAGCCGGCAGTGGCTGCCTGGGTACCATTGCCGTTGCTTGCCCCGCTGGCAGCGTTATTGGCAGTGGCTGCAGCACTCCCGCTGGAGTCCACCTCGTTGGTGGACTCTGTTGGCGTGGTGGTGCCTGTGGTGCTGCTAGATGACTTTGTGGCCCCCGCATTGACCGTGCCCGGCTCCACCTTAATCTCGGCCTTCACATTGCTGTTGGCATTTGTGGCTGTCGGTGCAGTGGAGTCCACGCCTGGTTTGCAAGGCTCCGTTTTCACCACCGGCTTGGGCGGCTTCACTTCCGGCATCACAGCATCGATCAGGGATAGGCCCTCAATGGGGCGCGCCACCTCGCCGTCTTCGCCGACGCTCCACTCCACCTCTGTGTAGAGGAGACCCTTCTGTAAGATGGTTAGCAGGGCGGCCGGTGGCACCAGGGCTCCGTTGATGTTGCTCTGCGAGATGTGCGACTCAATGCCAAACACGTAGGAGGAGTGCAGAAAGCCTACAACACAAAAAATCAGCAATGACTAAACGATGGCAATGGTGTGCGAGGGGTAATCCATCCCAGACTCACCCGACTCCTGCAGATATCGGTAAACAAGGAAGTTTACCTCGTCGCTGGAAAAACTCATGGCTACCAGGGGCGCACTCTTCCAGTTTCTTTTTTAAGAACTTCAGGTCCTAGGAGCACTCTGTGGACAACGTCCAATTATTGTGGCGGCGGCGGCAATGACGAGCGAGATAACACGGCACTGCGTAACACATGCGTCTGCATTTAGCACGCGTTCTTTGCTCCTCTCCAGAAATCGGATGGGGGCTGCTTGATGTTGTGACGTCGCTATGTGGCTTCTAGTTTCGGTGGATCCGGCCTGTTTTCTAAAATTCCCGATTCACTTTGAAACGCAAGAGCATTTTACATATTTTTTTCACAAATAAAAACTACGCATCGCAGCCCTGAAACGCGCAAAAAAATGGCGGAGTCCAGGCATACGGTCACGCGCGTGAGGTGACTCGGTGCGGCTTTTTCTTCACTTCACACATGACGTCAGAAGTGTAGCGCTGCGATATAGCCTATACGCAAGTATTTTTCTCAGGTGCGGGCTTGTAAGAAGACGTCAAGATTTATTCACAGCACAATTAAGTATCCTTAATTTAATTTCCAACAAAATTTCTAGAAACGCTTAGACAAAATTATTAATATTTGAATGTGTGACGTCACGACGACTTGCACCTTGCATTTTTCTGCAGCCCTGGCATATTCCGATGGTTTAGGCGTTTCGCCACACTATTTTGGACACTTGCGCCCGCTAGGTGGCTCCAGTCCTAGGCAGAGAGAGAAGAAAAATCAATAGAAATTTTCGTTTTAGTGAATTGCTGTGCATTTGGCAATAGTTTACAACAAAAAAGCAGCAAATATCAAAGTAAATCGCCAACCAGGTGGAGTTACATAAAGCGAGTACTCGCCACAAACATTCCGCAGCCAACACCCTGAAAAGCGAAGCCCTGAGAGAGCCCAAGCCGCAAACGGAGCAACTAATACAAAATTCCAGCACAACCAACGCCAGCCGAGCCAAACCACCAACCATTTTTCACTGCGGGTCGCCTCTCATCGGGATCGTGTGTACTATTTAAGCATAAAAAGTAAGCAGCCGCAAGTCGAACCCAAAGCCCCATGGAAAAACACATACGCCCATTAATGTTTGTTTCGGTTTGTGCCAATAAAATGACTTCGTCATCTCGCGAAGAAAAAAATATAAAGTGACGTGACGTGAAAGCGAACGAGTGCACAAAGGCAGCAACAAAGAGCCCAAAACGGATCAGAAGCTAGAAGCCAGAAGCCGGTGGATCCGGTGGTCGCGGTCGCGGTAGCGGTTGCGGTCCCCCAAATAAATGCAAACGCAAACGTTCGGGAGTGCAGGCGATAAAAGTGCGGTCCCGAGGTCATCATCATCGTCGTTGTTGGTGAAGCTCTGAATCTGAATCTTTATCAGTTGTGTTGCTGCTGTTGTGGCAGTGCCAAAGTTGCAAGAGTGCTTGCCAAAAGTGCGCGGGGGCGGCATCGACAGCGGCATCGTTCTTTCTCCCTCTCCCCACTCGCGGAAAGCCCCCAAATGTCAGGGTTCATTTGCAAGCGATTCTTTTATTTCTCTATTGCCCCCCACTGATCAGCCCCTAATATGTGACTCTCCAACAGGTCTGAAAGAGAATTTCTACAGAACGGCGGAGCTACACTAAGCGAAATAAGCGGCTATTTTGTTTGCAATCAAATAAAATACCCCACTCCGTCGCCGTCGTTTTTGCTGTTGTTGTCGTCGAGTTCGAGCCGATAAGAGCGTCTCGAGACTCGGCCGCCTCCCAGGCAGATATTTCTTGCGCCCCCCAGTTTGCATAAAACCAGCGAAAATTAACAAGCTAACTACAATGGCGCCGGTGCGGGGGGATGGCATGAGAGGCCTGGCAGTGTTTATATCGGATATAAGAAACTGTAAGTAACACAAAAATAAAATAACTCTCCAGTAAATTGCTTGCATTTAAATTTAATTTATCAGTGAGCAGAGCAGAGCACAACTAGCTTTTCTTATCCAAATTCATTCGTAGGGGCGGAATCAGCGCCATTTCTTGATCAATTACTGAGAGGAGCATCACACTCGACACACGTACATACATATGTGTTTGTGTGTATGCATAGCATATTTTATTGTGTATGAGAGAGTACCCGACGACAATTGTTGTTGTTTGCTCCGCGTAACGTATCGTATTCGTAACTCTGTCCGCATTATCGTCATGCTGCCGTTACTGGTTTCCTCTCTCCACAGCATAGGGTCTCCAAGAGTCTCCACTTTTGGTGACTGGTACTAATTGGCGCCTATGTGACCACAAAGCGACACAGAGAGAGAGGAAAAGAGACCTTTTTAGAGTGAGAGTCATACACATCACTCTCCATTAATCGATCATATGTCTACTGACGGGGAAAAGAAAGCTGGCCTTCCGCTACTGCGTCTGAAATTCTCCTTTTATGACCTTGACCCATTTACCTTTTCTGCCGTTTGCAGGTAAAAGCAAAGAAGCGGAGGTCAAACGCATAAACAAGGAGTTGGCCAACATACGGAGCAAATTTAAAGGAGACAAAACCCTGGATGGCTACCAGAAGAAGAAATATGTGTGCAAGCTGCTATTCATCTTTCTCCTTGGCCATGACATTGACTTTGGCCACATGGAGGCGGTCAATCTGCTGTCCTCCAACAAATACTCAGAGAAGCAGATCGTAAGTGGACACCCAGAGGATCTCTTGAAGACATTCAATAATTCTTTTCTCCATTTCAGGGATACCTATTCATTTCGGTGCTGGTCAACACAAACAGCGACTTGATCCGCCTCATCATCCAGTCGATCAAAAATGATTTGCAGTCGAGGAATCCGGTGCATGTGAACCTGGCGCTGCAGTGCATCGCCAATATTGGAAGCCGGGACATGGCCGAGTCGTTTTCGAACGAGATACCCAAACTGCTTGTTTCTGGGGACACCATGGACGTGGTGAAGCAGTCGGCTGCTCTGTGCCTGCTGCGGCTATTCCGCTCATCGCCTGACATCATACCCGGCGGCGAGTGGACCTCGCGCATCATCCACTTGCTCAATGACCAGCACATGGGCGTGGTGACTGCTGCCACATCGCTGATTGACGCCCTGGTCAAGTGTAATCCGGACGAGTACAAGGGCTGCGTGAATCTGGCCGTGTCGCGGCTCTCGAGGATCGTGACTGCCAGCTACACAGATTTGCAGGATTACACGTACTACTTTGTGCCGGCCCCCTGGCTGTCCGTGAAGCTACTCCGGCTGTTGCAGAACTACAATCCCGTGACCGAGGAGGCGGGAGTTAGGGCTCGCCTTAATGAGACCCTCGAGACGATCCTCAACAAGGCGCAGGAGCCGCCAAAGAGCAAGAAGGTGCAGCATTCAAACGCCAAGAACGCCGTCCTCTTCGAGGCCATCAATCTGATCATTCACAGCGACAGCGAGCCCAATCTTCTCGTGCGCGCCTGCAACCAGTTGGGCCAGTTTCTCAGCAATCGGGAGACGAACTTGCGCTACCTGGCCCTCGAGTCCATGTGCCATTTGGCCACCTCGGAGTTCTCCCACGAGGAGGTCAAGAAGCATCAGGAGGTGGTAATACTCTCCATGAAGATGGAGAAGGACGTTTCCGTGCGCCAGATGGCCGTCGATCTGCTGTACGCGATGTGCGATCGCGGCAATGCCGAGGAGATTGTCCAGGAGATGCTCAACTACTTGGAGACGGCCGACTACTCCATACGCGAGGAGATGGTGCTCAAGGTGGCCATACTCGCCGAGAAATACGCCACAGATTACACCTGGTAAGACCCGGATCTAAACTCTGTTGTAGAATCCCTTCTTACTTGATTGATTCTACCCTGCAGGTACGTGGATGTGATCCTCAATCTCATTCGCATCGCTGGCGACTACGTGTCGGAGGAGGTCTGGTACCGCGTCATCCAGATCGTCATCAATCGCGAGGAGGTGCAGGGCTATGCAGCCAAGACCGTGTTCGAGGCTCTGCAGGCCCCTGCCTGTCACGAGAATATGGTCAAGGTGGGCGGCTACATCCTCGGAGAGTTTGGCAATCTGATCGCAGGGGACTCCCGCTCGGCGCCCCTCGTGCAGTTTAAGCTGCTGCACTCCAAGTACCATCTGTGCTCGCCCATGACGCGGGCCTTGCTCCTTTCTACCTACATCAAGTTCATCAATCTGTTCCCGGAGATCCGCACCAACATCCAGGACGTGTTCAGGCAACACAGCAATCTCCGTTCGGCCGACGCGGAGCTGCAGCAGCGGGCCAGCGAGTATCTGCAGCTGAGCATTGTGGCCTCCACGGATGTGCTGGCCACCGTTCTAGAAGAGATGCCCTCGTTCCCAGAGCGCGAGAGCTCTATTCTGGCCGTGCTCAAGAAGAAGAAGCCGGGTCGAGTGCCAGAAAACGAGATCCGAGAGTCGAAGAGCCCCGCTCCGACCTCGGGACCGGGATCGGTCCTCCAGAACAACGTGCACGTGAACAACTCTCACAGCAAACTGAACAACAGCAATGCCAACACAGATCTGCTCGGCCTGAGCACGCCGCCGGCCAACAATGTGGGAAGCAACAGCAACAGCACCCTCATCGATGTCCTGGGCGACATCTACGGCAGCAACAACAACTCCAGTGCCGTATACAACACCAAGAAGTTCTTGTTCAAGAATAATGGTGTGCTCTTCGAGAACGAGATGCTACAGATTGGCGTGAAGAGCGAATTCAGGCAGAACCTGGGGCGGCTAGGCCTCTTCTATGGTAACAAGACACAGGTCCCCCTCTCGGTAAGAGTCCATCTTGAAAGAGTAGTCCTCTGCAGGCCTAAATATCATTTTCGTTTCGTGTAGAACTTCAATCCCGTGCTGCAATGGTCCGCTGAGGAGACGCTCAAGCTGAACGTACAGATGAAAGCAGTGGAGCCGACCCTGGAGGCCGGTGCACAAATCCAACAGCTGCTCACGGCCGAGTGTATCGAGGACTACGCCGATGCGCCAACCATTGAGATCAGTTTCCGCTACAACGGCACCCAGCAGAAGTTCAGCATCAAGCTGCCGCTGAGCGTGAACAAGTTCTTCGAGCCAACCGAAATGAATGCCGAATCCTTCTTTGCCCGATGGAAGAACCTAAGCGGGTAAATAGTGCCGCTGCTCGATGAATGAATGAATAAATTAATGACTGTCCTCTTTTTAGGGAACAACAACGATCACAGAAAGTGTTCAAGGCTGCCCAGCCGCTGGATCTGCCTGGGGCACGGAACAAACTGATGGGCTTTGGAATGCAGCTGCTCGATTCTGTGGATCCTAATCCGGATAATATGGTCTGTGCGGGAATCATACACACGCAATCGCAGCAGGT